AAAGATTGTTGAGGCCTGTAGGTCCTCTGGTTTTCGTTCGATCCGAATGAGTAGATGCTTTTCCTTGTCTGGCACTCCATCACGCACCACGGACAAGAGGGAACCACGCTGGATAATTCCGGGAACTTTCCCTGCCAGCAGGGGGGTCAATCCAGCTTCGGAACTCTTGATTGATTAGTGAGCATGTACCTTACTCACTGAGCTAATGTGGCACCCCTCATCTGTGGAAATACTAATCATTGCATGAAATTGAACAAATTTGAACGGGATTATCTCGTTTCCATAAAAATAAAATGTACGCACAACGGTTGACATTTCGTATGTGTCGCGTAATGACAAAACATTTCGACTAAAGATAATGACATCTCGCATGTGTCACGTACTAACATAAAATGTCGACTAAAGATAATGACATCTCGCATGTGTCCGTAATAACATAAAATGTCGACTAAAGATAATGACATCTCGCATGTGTCACGTAATAACATAAAATGTCGACAAAAGATAATGACATCTCGCATGTGTCACGTAATGACATAACGTGTCGACTAAAGACAGTTACATCTCGAATGCGTCACGTAATGACATGGCCCGCCTATTCAAGCCACTCTATTATTCTTAAAAAAGAGCAGAGATGAGAGAGAGAGAGGGAGAGAGAGAGAGGGGGGGGGGGCGATTAACGTCCACTGAGCATAAAATAGAAAATACCTTAAACCATACAGGCCGTATATGACACTTAACTTAATTTACAAATGTCTGTCAATGACGATAATGGCGACGATGATGTTCTGAAAGTGTTTGTGATGATAATTATAATAAATAGTAAATACCTTTAGCCAGAGAGACCGATATGAATAATATGGTGCACAAATTCCACAACTCCATGCTTACTGGTCTCGTAGATCTATCTGTATAAACAGACTCGACTGAATTCTGTGTGTTATTGAAATGTGTTGATGCGTCTAACAGAGAAATGTGAGAGCTTTTAAAGAGATATAAATAGCTCCAGCAATAATAGAATAGATCATAGTCTTTAGCATGAACAAACGGAGGAGGATAATAAAATAAATTACTATACTCTATAATATTGTGTTTAATCATTTAACACAGTGTGTTAGTGTAATGTTTCCATACCCAGGGCCAATGCCAGAATATTCTGTAGTGATAATGTGCATCCCCCTCCCACGCTCTAAAAAATGAGTTACCAACATCAAATGTTTAAAACAGATGTTTCGTAGACAAAATGAAACGCATAAATCATACCTGATGTAGGCCAGGGATTGTTTTTACAGAATTCTTTACAGTTCACATTGATAGATCCATTGTACAAAACTCTAGCCACCAAAGCTCAGTATTTTTCCCTCTAACCCGCAAAGGTCAGTATCGTGGGACTATAATCCACAAAAGGTCAGTATTGTTTCCTCTAACCCGCAAAGGTCAGTATTGTGGCTCTCTAATCTCCCCAAGCTTAGTATTGTGGCCCCTAACCCCTACAGCTCAGTATTGTGGCCCTCTGACACCTACAGCACAGTATTGTGGCCCGCTGACCCCCCCCCAAGCCCAGTATTGTGACTCTCTAACCCGCCCAAGCTCAGTATAGTAGCCCTCTGACCCTCAAGCTCAGTATTGTGGATCTATAACCCTTAAAGTTCAGTATTGTTCCCTCTAACCCTCAAAGGTCAGTATTGTTCCCTCTAACCCTCAAAGGTCAGTATTGTTCCCTCTAACCCTTAAAGGGCAGAATTGTGCCCCTCTAAGTCCCAAATTTTAATATCAGTATTTTGCCCTTCTAACTCGCAAAGGCCAGTCAGTATTGTGCCCCTCTAACCCTAAATATAGATCGCGCCGTTCAAGATTATGATGGAAATCCCACTGTGCTATGTCCCGGACTACTCTTATATCTAATTCCAACCTCGGTTTTTCGTCCCATCCGAAAGACTATACGTTGTCCCTTGCCAGGCCCTCTGTCATGTACCATTGACAAGGGGGAAACCACACCGAAAAATCCAGATGAACTTTCTCGGTCAATGCAGGGATCGAACATGTGACCCCCAGGTTAGCGAGCCATGGCCCTAACTGCAGAGCCACCGTAGTACCTCGCTAGTCTGTCATTGAGTCAACTGGCGGGGTTTCGATTCCCCGGTTGTACGTGACAAGGAGTAGGGTCGCCTGTCCAACCTTGTGGGTTTTCTCCGGATCCTCCGGTTTCCTCCCACTGCTAAAGACCCCTACGCGCAAGCGAATTATTGAAATAAAATTGAACCATGTGTTAGTCCCGAAATGACCTAGTTTGTGTCGATTGGACGTTAAACCTAGTTTGTCTCTCTCCCTCTCTGTAAAATGGACAATGAAAAATGAATATATTGAATATTTCAATCAAATTAGTTTATTTTGAGTGTTTGAATTTTTGACAAGATAGTCTCGATTACCAAGTATCATTGTTACGATAATGAACAAAGTCTCGATTATCCATTTTTCCCCCGTTATAATATCAAACAACGCATGTGTTCTAATTAATTCAATAGCATGGTCTGGGGAGTTAATTATGGAGAGAGAGAGAGAAATGGGGTTTAACGTCCACTCGACACAAACTAGGTCATTTCGGGACTAACATATGGTTTAATTTTATTTACATAATTCGCTTGCGCGTAGGGGTCTTTAGCAGTGGGAGGAAACCGGAGGACCCGGAGAAAACCCACGAGGTTGGACAGGCGACCCTACTCCTTGCCACGTACAACCGGGGATTCGAAACCACGCCAGTCGACTCAATGACAGACTGTATGATACAGCGCGCACACGCTAACCATTCAGCCATCCAACCCCCCAGTTAATTATGGACTTTTCATCTGCAGAAATGTCTAAATAACAATTCCACAATATTTGAAGCCAGAAAAAAAGAACTGTAGTAGGCAGATTTAGCTCTTACATAAATCATATTTAAGATTTATCTTGTTGTTGTGATGTCTTTTTTTTTGTCTTTTTTTTTCTTTTAAGAAAATTGAAACAATTGTGTTGCGATTTTTTTTTTGATTTGTTTTTAGAAAATTGAAACAGCACGATTTTCCTCTACATTCCACAACAGCCGAACTATCTTACAACTTTACCATGATGTATACAGAACGTTCCTGAAATATTAAAATGGAAACCTAGAACATGATAGAAATAATGAAATCAAATATTCTACTTTTCGGGGACACGGTTGCTAAGTGGGTAAGACGCTGGCTCGCTAGCCTGAAGGTCGCGAGTTCGATCCCTGCATTGGCCGAGAAAGTTCATCCATGTTTATATTCCAAAGATCTCGGTTCCTTTCCATATTGGCGCATAACGGACCGTATATTCCTAGATTATACCACCGTTACATCATAATTATGGTTGAGTTCGAATTTCGTGAATTCGGAGAGAAAATGTCCGTCATAATCGCTGCTCCCCTTTACGCAAATAGTGTAAAAGCATGTAATACCGTGCCACAAATATATGTTACGCTTGATCTTGGGGTTCTTTTACGTGCACACCAGTGTGTACACGTGACTTCGTGGTTTTGTTTCACAATATGGTAAGCTACAACATACTCGTTTATCACTTTAAAGTCGCTAAACTACAACATACTCTTTTATCAGTTAACAATTGCCAACGTCAATTGACAGGTGTGCTTTTACGTGCACGCGAAATGACTTAGTTTGTGTTAAGTGGACGTTAAACCCCATTTCTCTTTCTATCTATTTCTCAATTAAATATTAGATAACTAATTAGAATACAATGATCAGTGTAAAATTTTTAATATTTTTCATTTGTATTATTTATTTTGAAACTAGAACAGCCAGCTCTTCATCTAAATCTTACATACTTCAACTTTTATGAGAGTATGATATTAATGATTTGTCTCGTTTGTCCAGTGTCGTTGCTACAGTAATAAACATTCTACACTACATCCGCCAACACTTATAACTTCGCTCAGAATAAAGTAATTTGAATAAAATTTGCAATATATTCATTTATCATGATGTATTTTTGAACTATTATAGCAAGAACGAACATCTCTTTAACTAAATCTTACATAATGTATCTTTAATAGGAGATGGTTCTCTCGGCCTAAACTATTTGTTAAGGCCAGCGCAATTTTCGTCAAGGTCGCTGAGATGTAAATAACGTTAGGGCACGTTATTAATGGCGAGATTGAAGGTTAGGGTTAGGGTAAGTATTTGGGCTAGTTCCAGGGTTAGAGGGAACAACACTGACCTTTGAAGGTTAGAGGGAACAATACTGACCTTTGAGGGTTAGAGGGAACAATACTGAACTCTAAGGGTTATAGATCCACAATACTGAGCTTGAGGGTCAGAGGGCTACTATACTGAGCTTGCTGGTTAGAGAGCCACAATACTGAGTTTCGGGGGTTAGAGAGCCACAATACTGAGATTAGAGTGTTAGAGGGACACAGTTCTGAGCTTGGGCGGGTTAGAGAGTCACAATACCGGGCTTGGGGGGTCAGCGGGCCACAATACTGTGCTGTAGGTGTCAGAGGGCCACAATACTGAGCTGTAGGGGTTAGGGGCCACAATACTAAGCTTGGGGAGATTAGAGAGCCACAATACTGACCTTTGCGGGTTAGAGGAAACAATACTGACCTTTTGTAGATTATAGTGCCACGATACTGACCTTTGCGGGTTAGAGGGAAAATACTGAGCTTTGGTGGCTAGAGTTTTTACAATGGATCTATCAATGTGAACTGTAAAGAATTCTGTAAAAACAATCCCTGGCCTACATCAGGTATGATTTATGCGTTTCATTTTGTCTACGAAACATCTGTTTTAAACATTTGATGTTGGTAACTCATTTTTTAGAGCGTGGGAGGGGGATGCACATTATCACTACAGAATATTCTGGCATTGGCCCTGGGTATGGAAACATTACACTAACACACTGTGTTAAATGATTAAACACAATATTATAGAGTATAGTAATTTATTTTATTATCCTCCTCCATTTGTTCATGCTAAAGACTATGATCTATTCTATTATTGCTGGAGCTATTTATATCTCTTTAAAAGCTCTCACATTTCTCTGTTAGACGCATCAACACATTTCAATAACACACAGAATTCAGTCGAGTCTGTTTATACAGATAGATCTACGAGACCAGTAAGCATGGAGTTGTGGAATTTGTGCACCATATTATTCATATCGGTCTCTCTGGCTAAAGGTATTTACTATTTATTATAATTATCATCACAAACACTTTCAGAACATCATCGTCGCCATTATCGTCATTGACAGACATTTGTAAATTAAGTTAAGTGTCATATACGGCCTGTATGGTTTAAGGTATTTTCTATTTTATGCTCAGTGGACGTTAATCGCCCCCCCCCCCTCTCTCTCTCCCTCTCTCTCTCATCTCTGCTCTTTCTAGAATAATAGAGTGGCTTGAATAGGCGGGCCATGTCATTACGTGACGCATTCGAGATGTAACTGTCTTTAGTCGACACGTTATGTCATTACGTGACACATGCGAGATGTCATTATCTTTAGTCGACATTTTATGTTATTACGTGACACATGCGAGATGTCATTATCTTTAGTCGACATTTTATGTTATTACGTGACACATGCGAGATGTCATTATCTTTAGTCGACATTTTATGTTATTACGTGACACATGCGAGATGTCATTATCTTTAGTCGGCATGTTTTGTCATTACGCGACACATACGAAATGTCAACCGTTGTGCGTACATTTTATTTTTATGGAAACGAGATAATCCCGTTCAAATTTGTTCAATTTCATGCAATGATTAGTATTTCCACAGATGAGGGGTGCCACGTTGGCTCAGTGAGTAAGGTACATGCTCACTAATCAATCAAGAGTTCCGAAGCTGAATTGACCCCCCTGCTGGCAGGGAAAGTTCCCGGAATTATCCAGCGTGGTTCCCTCTTGTCCGTGGTGCGTGATGGAGTGCCAGACAAGGAAAAGCATCTACTCATTCGGATCGAACGAAAACCAGAGGACCTACAGGCCTCAACAATCTTTAGTTCGATGGGGAGAGAGAGAGGGGAGAGAGAGAGAGAGAGAGAGAGAGAGAGAGAGAGATGGGGTTTAACGTCCACTCGGCACAAGCAGATTCGAAACCACGCCACCATTAGACCCCCGTCCTCCGTCCCGCGGCGTGCACGTAAATAACCCTTGATGTTTTGAATTCAACTGCTGTCTGATGTAAAATGTTGTACCTTCCAGCACCTACAGGGCTAATGCATACGCCATCCAGGACGATGTCGTACGCCATCCAGGACGATGTCATACGCCATCCAGTGTGCTATGGGGCAAATTTTGTCCAGATAGTGGATCTTCTTCGTACTCTTATACACCAAAGTGTACACGGGTCTTCGGTTTTTCGTTCCATCCAATCGACTAGACAGTTGTCCTTTTTCATGTCCTCCGTCCTGCATCACTGACAAATGGAATCCGAGACGGAAAAAACCGAGAAATTTTATCGGCCAATATCGGAACCAGGGGCTAGAAGTCCTCCGTCGATCACCACTGACAAGGAACTTTATCGGCCATGCAACGGGACCAAAAGGCTGGCGAATCAGTGTCTTAACTACTGAGCCAGTATGACTCCCATGCTACATAGAGGTAAATAGTTTATATAGTCTGATATTAATAATAATAATAATAATATTTACAGGTTTAGATCAATGTGAAGATTCGTCTGATACCAACTTCTGTAATGAAAATATTAACGACTGTACACCTAGTGATAAACAATACAAATATCCCATGACTGATATGGATGTCATGTGCATGAAAACATGTGGTGTATGTACAGGTTAGTGTTATTCGGTGGGGTGGGTGGGGTAGAGTGGGGTCGGTACGGGCGGGGTGAAATATACCCTCTACGGGTTAGGTAGAGTTGTGTGGGGCGGGGTGGGTGGGGTGGCAATATACCCTTCTACAGGTTAGTGTTATCTGGTGGGGTAGAGTGGGGGTGGGGTGGGTGTATCATACCCTTCTACGGGTTAGCGTTATCTGGTTGGGTAGAGTGGGGGTAGGGTGGGTGTATCATAGCCTTCTACAGGTTAGTGTTATCTGGTGGGGTAGAGTGGGGGTGGGGTGGGTGTATCATACCCTTCTACAGGTTAGTGTTATCTGGTGAGGTAGAGTGGGGGTGGGGTAGGTGTATCATAGCCTTCTACAAGTTAGTGTTATCTGGTGAGGTAGAGTGGGGGTGGGGTGGGTGTATCATAGCCTTCTACAGGTTAGTGTTATCTGGTGGGGTAGAGTTGGGGTGGGGTGGGTGTATCATAGCCTTCTACAGGTTAGTGTTATCTGGTGGGGTAGAGTGGGGTGGGGTGGGTGTATCATAGCCTTCTACAGGTTAGTGTTATCTGGTGGGGTAGAGTTGGGGTGGGGTGGGTGTATCATAGCCTTCTACAGGTTAGTGTTATCTGGTGGGGTAGAGTGGGGGTTGGGTGGGTGTATCATAGCCTTCTACAGGTTAGTGTTATCTGGTGAGGTAGAGTGGGGGTGGGGTAGGTGTATCATACCCTCTACAGGTTAGTGTTATCTGGTGAGGTAGAGTGGCGGTTGGGGGGTGTATCATACCCTCTACAGGTTAGTGTTATTCGGTGGGGTAGGGTCGATTTCAGTGGGGTGGAGTGTAAAATACCATCTATATTAGTGATAGTGATATACACATATGTGATATCACAATTTGTGCTTTGCTTCAATGAAATTGAATCACAATGCGATCCTATTAATTCGTTATAAATATTGGATTTCTCTCTTTAAAAGGGGGGTTGGGTGGCTGAATGGTTAGCGTGCGCGCGCTGTATCATAAAGTCTGTCATTGAGTCAACTGGCGTGGTTTCGAATGCCCGGTTGTACGTGGCAAGGAGTGGGGTCGCCTGTCCAACCTCGTGGGTTTTCTCCGGGTCCTCCGGTTTCCTCCCACTGCTAAAGACCCCTACGCGCAAGCGAATTATGTTAATAAAATTAAACCATATGTTAGTCCCGAAATGACCTAGTTTGTGTCGAGTGGACGTTAAACCCTCTCTCTCTCTCTCTCTCTCTCTCTTTAAAAAGCCCAGTGTGTATGTATGCCTATGTAATTTGGAGACGATGATGGCATTATGCATTGCCAACTGTCAAATTTCCTTACCGGGAACCTGGCAAACTCCCTCCTGCAAAAAATTTCTGGATGCACCTCTGGGTGGGTGGAGTGTAATATACCGTTTACAGGTTAGTGTTATCTATTGGGGCGGGGCAGTGTGATATTCCCTTTGCAGTCCACTTTACACTCGGTTAAATATACACGTAGAAGGGTCGGTGTGGATTTACTCTTCCAACCGTCACAGGTTCTTACTGAATTGTTCTGAGAACAGTGAAAGAAGTTAGGGATCCGCACTTGGTTCAGGAACGGACTGGGAGTGTGGTGTGCTAGGGAACCCTACAGAATTTAATATTATCACGTAGTTTGGTGGCCATTTTATTGGTGGCCATTTTATTCAGGATATAAAGAACCATCTACAATCAAATTGTCAACGATTTTTTTGCGATGTGTAAGGGAGGGTGCGAGATCCCCGGAGCCCCTAAAGTAGGGGCCTTCAGGCTTGGTTTGGGGGTTATCGTGGTGTAGATCAATCCCCAATTGTACCCATTTACGGACTATACTGATTAGAAGTTTGTATTTCCATATTTTTTAGAAGTTGGTTGCAGTGAAGGATATTATGACGATTCGCAGAACTCGTGTACGGCCTGTAGCGAGAATTGCCTTAACGGAAGATGTAATCCTGACAACGGCTTCTGTACTGACGCATGCGACGATGGCTTTTATGGCAACACCTGTGACTTCCAGTGTCCCTTGAATTGTGGGTTGTATGGTTGCTATCGTTACACAGGGATATGTTATTATTGTGAAGATGGATGGTATGGAGAAACGTGCGATATAGCATGTGACTGCCCTCATGGATGTAACCAGGTGACGGGTGAATGTGGTTGTCAAGGTGGATTTGGAGAAGTAAGTTACTATGGGACCGCGTGTGTTTTGGAATGTAGTGCTAATTGTCACCATGGGTGTGATAAGTTAACCGGTAGATGTAACTACTGTAATGAAAGCCTATTTGGAGAACAGTGTGACCAGATGTGTTTGGGGTGTGATTTTGGCTGTTTCAGTGACCAGATTGGCGGCACGTGTTATTATTGTGGAGAAGGCCAGGCGTGGGATTATTGTGATCGAATATGTCCTGCAGGTTGTCATGGAAACGTTTGTGAACGCAATGGCTATTGTCATAATTGCAAAGTGGGTTTCTTTGGTGATTATTGTCTTGATTTTTGTCCTGGTAACTGCCTTGGCCCATGCAATAGAACTAACGCTCAATGTAGGGAATGTATAGTCGGTTTTTATGGTGATCATTGTACTGAGGGTTGTCCTGGTAACTGCCTTGGTCCATGTAATAAAATTGACACTAAATGTAAGGACTGTAAAATCGGTTTCTTTGGTGACTTTTGCACTAAGAGTTGTCCGAGCAACTGTCTTGGACCATGCGACAGACTTGACGGCAAATGCCGAGACTGTAAAAACAATATGGCGGGCGATTTCTGCATTCTTCCTTGTAGCATCGGTTGCAAATCGAATGGAAATCAAAGGCGGTGTTATCAAGATGGTGCATGCGTATCTAAATGTGTTGATGGTTTCTACGGCAAAATGTGTGACCTTGAATGTGCATGTAAGGTCGGGTGTGATCAGAAAACTGGCGAATGTAGCACCTGCACACCCGGTACCTATGGTGATATATGTAATAGGTTATGTGGCACTACATGTGTTGATGGGTGTAGTCCAACTTCCGGTCAGTGTCATAAATGCCAGAGTGGTTACTATGGTGAACAATGTAATATGTTATGTAGAGCCACCTGTAGGAGTGAATGTGACCAAATATCGGGTAATTGTAGCAAGTGTATTCGTGGTCACTATGGTGACAAATGCCATAATTTATGTCGAGTTACCTGCATTGAAGGGTGCGATAAAGTATCGGGTGATTGTGTTTCTTGTATTCAGGGTCACTATGGCAGCAAATGCGGTAAGTTATGTAGAGGCACGTGTGAAGGAGGGTGCGATAAAGAAACGGGGAGATGCGTTCAATGTGCAAGTGGTTTCTATGGCGAAATATGCAATAAAAAATGTATCACAAATTGTAAATGTCACCATGAAAGTGGGGAATGCAACGCTTGCGTGAGTGGTTACTATGGTGATGTATGTAACATCCCATACGCCGCCACCTGTGATTACGGCTGTGATAGGGCGACAGGTAAATGCATCAGGTGTTATACTGGTTACTATGGTGACATGTGCGAGGGTGTGTGTAACGCCAACTGTAATGGTGGTTGTGACAGAGAGGGGGCTAAATGTTACAGCTGCATAATCGGTTTTTATGGTGACGAATGTGAGCATGAATGTAATTCCAACTGTTATGGTGGATGTGACCGGAAGGGAGGAAAATGTAACAGCTGTAAAACTGGTTTCTATGGTGAAACGTGCGAGAACTCGTGTAATTCTAACTGTATTTCCGGATGTGACAGACTAGATGGTAAATGTGACAGTTGTGTCAGTGGTTACTATGGAGATACGTGCAATGAAATCTGCAGTTCAACATGTAAATCTGTTGTCGGTAAAATAACTCCTATTTGTTACCAGTCCAATGGAACGTGCATTGAAGGATGTCAACCCGGTACAAGGGGAGATAACTGTGGAGATGGTAAGTTGTTCTTGCACATACGTAATCACATCTAAACTCAAGATGTGCTTTTTTATAATCCATAGTAAGAAATTCGATGTTAAAGATATGAACCAGGCCATTTAATGCAATCTTAAAACTTATTTTTCTTGCTTCTTTGGTTTTTTCGGTTTTTGGGGTTTTTTTTTTGTTAGTTTGCTTGTTTAGAGTCTTTGCTCGAAATGTCTTTTAATGTGCAACCTTTTTTGATTTCCTTTTGAAAATGGCGGTAACTATGTTATGTCTTTGTGATGTGTTTGTGTTTGAATTTTTTTATTGACTGTTCTAGTAACCGTGGTAAAAGTAAACCATGCACCTTTAGAGTGTAAAGATGGTTACCATGGTGATGACTGTTTTAGTAATAAACCATGTACTGTTTATGTTATATTTTAGATTGTAAAGATGGTTACTATGGTGAGGACTGTTCTAGGAACTATGGTAACTGTTGTGATAATAAACCTATGTTATATTTTTGATTGTAAAGATGGTTGCTATGGTGATGACTGTTCTAGTAACCCTGGTACCGTCTATGTTATATTTTAGATTGTGAACATGGTTACTATGGTGATGGCTGTTCTAGTAATTGTGGTAACTGTTATGATAATAAACAGTGTGATTCTGTTACTGGCAATTGTGGTATAGAGGGATGCAAGGATGGTTTTACAGGACCAAAATGTGACATCGGTAAGTTTTCCATCTATGAAGCTAAAGCCGCAATTATCAAATATCCTTGAGTCAGGGGTTAGGGATTGGGGGTTGAAAGGGGGGGGGGTGCAAATATTCTAATCCCATTGCGCCCCCTTCGTTTAGCCCCTTTGTTTATATAATATAATATGCTTTAAAAGAATATTTTTTTTATTAGAGGCTGGATGTGAGGATGGGTATTATGAAGATCCAGGTAACTCGTGTACTGCATGTAGTAACAACTGTCAACTAGGCACCTGCAATCCTGTTAACGGATATTATACTTATGGTTGTATAGCTGGATATTACGGTAATAACTGTGAACAGAAATGTGATACAAAATGTTACATGGATTCATGTTATCCTGATACGGGCAGATGTTACGTCTGTAAATCTGGTTGGTATGGTGACATGTGCGATCAAAGATGTAACTGTCGCAACGGATGTAACCGAGAGAACGGAAGATGCAACTGTCAGACACATCATCATACCAGTAGTCAAATAAGTTATTACGGATCTTCGTGTCGACAGAAATGTAGTGAATACTGTTTCTACGGGTGTGATAAATATAGCGGTAGGTGTCACACGTGTGTTGAAAAGAAATATGGCGACAATTGTGATAAGAATTGTTCAAATTGCCACCAATGTTACAACGATCAAGATGGTGGCACCTGTGATAGTTGTGAAGCCGGGCAATACGGAGATAAATGCGACTTAAAGTGTCCTGAAGGTTGTGAAGGTGGTGTATGTTCAAGAGATGGCCGTTGCCATAGTTGTAAGTTGGGTTACTATGGTGACCAATGTACTGCCAGTTGCCCCAGTAACTGTCTAGATTCCTGTGGTAGAATTGACGGAAAATGTAAGGATTGTAAATTTAATATGGCCGGCGACTTCTGCAATCTTACTTGTAGCGATAGATGCTTATTGCGGCAAAATCAAAGGCGGTGTTATCAAAATGGTACATGCGTACTGAAATGTGTTGATGGTTTCTATGGTGAAATGTGTAATATGCCATGTAGTTCTAAATGTGATTACGGCGGATGTGATCAACAAACCGGAAAATGCAATCGGTGCATTATGGGTTACTATGGTGACACATGCAATATGCTATGCAGAACCACGTGTGATGGAGGGTGTAAACAATCGCTGGGTGAATGTATTAAATGTCATAACGGTTACTATGGCGCCAACTGCGAAAGGTTATGTCGTGTTACATGTGATAGGGGATGTGACAAAGAATCCGGTAAATGTAACTACTGTCTCCGTGGTCACTATGGCGACGACTGTAGCATATTATGTAGAGTGACGTGCGTTGGCGGATGTGACAAAATAGCTGGCAAATGTAACAGCTGTATGCACGGACACCATGGTGACAAATGTAATAGGTTATGTAGAGTTACGTGTGAAGGTGGGTGTGACAAAGTTACTGGTAAATGCCGTGAGTGTTTGAGCGGTTACCATGGAGACACGTGTGATTTAAAATGTGATAAACATTGCATTTGTGAAAAGGACAACGGGAAATGTATAACGTGTAAGACTGGTTACTATGGTGACAGTTGTGGCTACAAATGTAGCTCCACGTGTGAAGAAGGATGTGATAGGACAAGTGGAAAATGTATAAAATGTTATGACAGTTACTATGGTGACAGGTGCGAGGAGGTGTGTAATTCCAATTGTCATGGTGGTTGTGAGAGAACGGGGGGTAAATGTAACAGCTGTAAAACTGGTAACTATGGTGACTACTGTAATGAAGCTAGTAGTGCAAATTGTAAAGAGGTAGACGGTACCACGACTCCGGCCTGTTTCCAGAAGAATGGAACCTGTACTGACGGATGCCAACCTGGCAGAAGGGGAGATTACTGTGAGATAGGTAGGTTGTTTGGTCTCAGTCCACTAATTATTTTTGATTTTTATCAATGCAGTGCCACACATTCTTTCGCTTCTTGGTCGAGCCTTTACTATGCCTATTTTGGTTTATGTTTTTGGTCTAGAAAAGTTGAAAAGGGCTAGATTGTGACGATGGTTACTATGGTGATGACTTTTTTTTATATGTGCCTTCTATTTTGTATTTTAAAGATGTACCATCTATGATATTTTAGATTGTAAAGATGTACCATCTATGATATTTTAAATTGTAAAGATGGTTTCTATGGTGATGGCTGTTCTATTAACAATGATAACTGTTATGATAATAAACCATGTACCATCTATGTAATATTTTAGATTGTAAAGATGGTTACCATGGTGATGACTGGGCTGTTCTAACAACTATGGCAATGGTTGTGATAATAAACCGTATATATTCTATGTTATATTTTAGATTGTTGAAAGGGTTGCTATGGTGATGGCTGTTCTAGTTACTATTGTAACTGTTATGGCCATTAACCATGTACTGTCTCTGTTCTATTTTAGATTGTAAAGATGGTTTTTATGGTGATGGTTCGTCTACTAACTATGGTAACTGTTACGATAACAAACCATGTACCGTCTATGTTATATTTAATTGTGAGCATGGTTACCATGGTGATGGCTGTTCTAGAAATTGTCGTTACTGTTATGATCAATAACTATGTTATATTTTAGATTGTGAAAATGGTTACTATGGAGATGGCTGTTCTAGCAATTGCGGTAACTGTTATGATAATACACCATGTGATGTCGTCACTGGTAGATGTGGTGCGGTAGGCTGCCAAGAAGGATTTACAGGGCCAAAATGTGACGTCGGTTAGTTTCACCTGCTACGCCATCTTTGCGTTACTATGACAAAACACAGCAAGACAGAAATTGGGTTTAGCATTTAGAAATCCGTCGTGGTACGGGTGGAGGGGGCGGCATTTGTTTGGCGGAAACTCGATTGGTAGAGCTGCACAGTAGTACGATAAACCCCATTTCATTTCAGTTTGTTTCCAGTATAACACCTTTATCAGTGAACCGATGTTGCTGTATGTTGAGAAGGGGAGGGGTGGTGGATTGCCGAATGGTTAGCACGTGCGCGCTGTATCATAAAGCCTGTCATTGAGTCAACTGGCGTGGTTTCGAATCCCCGGTTGTACGTGACAAGGAATAGGGTCACCTGTCCAACCTCGTGGGTTTTCTCCGGTTTCCTCCCACTGCATAAGACCCCTACGCGCAAGCGAATTATTGAAATAAAATTAAACCATATGTTAGTCCCGAAATGACCTAGTTTGTGTCGAGTGGACGTTAAACACCATCTCTCTCTCTCTCTCTCTCTCTCTCTCTCCTCTCTCTCTCTCTCTCTGCTGTATGTTGAGGTTTTGTATAGTAATAGTCACGAAATAACGAAGTTGATAATAATGAATAGAAACATATTTTTTATTAAATTTATGATTATATAGGTTCCAAAACAACCAAAATTATAGACATGTCTTAATTTAATTCTACAGTTCGGTCGGGCTTTATTATTTGTTTATTTGTTTTTGTTTTTGTTTTTGTTTCAGAGGACGTTCTGTATACTGGTTGAAGACCAACTAGTTCGAGACTACCAGTGTTATATATTATCCCGCGTAGAATGAAGTGAAGAGTGGAATACTGAAACTGGATTCATCCTTCTGTCCGGCTTTCCTTCCGTTCTCGTCGTTTTTTCGGGGCATATCTCATAAACCGTCCAAGATATCTTTATAACACATGATACGACATCAACTTAAACATACATTATGCAAGAGCTAAATCTGCCTATTGCAGGTCTTTCTTTAAGCCTAAAATGATATCTATATTAAAATTAGACATTAATTAACTTATCCAGACCATAATCAACTCTCGATGTCATGGCTAGCCTTCGATGTTGGCTGGATTAGATTCCTATATGCCACTAACTGCCATTGATAATTTTAAAATAAAAAAAAGTGGATAATCGAGACTATGCTGTTTATATTAATGATTTTAGTAATGATGACCGAGACTATGCAAAAAATTTCAACCGCTTCTTTCACGGCTCATAGTGGATCAATTTGACTGAAATTTTCAGCAAATTACCTTTACACTATCTAGTTTTTAACTATTATAGCGAGAACTGCCATCTCTTTATCTTATCTCCCATAATGTATCTTTAACTATAACTATGTTAAACATCGTATAACCGTTATACGATGTTTAACAAATAGGTATACTATAACTTGTACACAAATATAACCAATATAGTCTAATTGGAATGTTTGATACTACTTGTTAAACGTCTTATAACATGTTCACAAATATAACCAAGTAGTCTAATTGGAATGTTTGATACTATGTGTTTAAACATACATTATACAAGAGCTAAATCTGCCTATTGCAGGTCTTTCTTTGTTATATAAATTATTAATTAGACATTTATTAACAAAACAAGACCATCGATGGCATCGGATACTCGAGATTTCAACTAGATTAGAACGATTCGCCATTTGAAAATTTAATTTAAAAATGGGAAAGCGAGGCTAAGAGCATGGTTACCACTATGCACACATCTTGTCAAAACTACAAACAGAGATAACTTGGCTCAGAATAAAGTAATTTGAAAGAAATTTTCAGTATTCCCTTTTTTGATCATCTATATTTGAATTATTATGGCCAACTCTTTATTAAACTCTTAAAGGCTCAATACCACTCTTGTTGCAACTAAATAATATTTCCCAATCATTATTCTGGTCAACAAATTGTACTATTATACAATATTCCAATTAATTGATGATACAAATTTCATCTTACCTAATTTTAAAAATTGGAAAAATTCAACGAAATGATTTGAAAAGCCTGACGTAAAGCTTTTCAAAGGTTACTTGGATTTAAAAATATTTTTGAACTCTCTGGACAAGTAAAATAGGATTTAATGGATAATTTACACAACAGGTAGGACACTAACACATCTAGTACTTAGAATAAGGCTATTTTTTATTTTCTGGAGCTTTCAAGCCAGCAAGAGTGTTATTGTCCCTTTAAATAATGTATCTTTAACATCTTATAACATGTCTACTAATAGTATTTGGGTGTTGCCATGGTTATTAATAACTATGAGATTGTATATCACTTTACCTTCCAAACTATGTTCAAGGATGTTGATGAACGAAGTAATTCATTGATACATTTAACAGATTTAAATATGATGTATATATATATATATATGTTATTGTTTAAATTATATTTTTGAATTTCATTTTTAATCTGTTTGTTTTATATCATCGGTAAGGTTGGGGGTGTGGGCGTCCGGATTTCAGTTTGGTTTCCAAAGTAAATAAGATTCGTTTAAAGGTGCATTATGTAAATTATGTGTAAAGATTCCATAATCAACTCTCTAGACCATCGGATGGTTGTGATTTTGAACGGATTGAAACAGTCGCCATTTAACAATTTAATGTAACAAGCGGTTCCCATGCAAGCTACGCCCACATTTTGCAAGAGCTGGGCAAAGAACAAGCTAAAAACACAGTCCGATACGCGCGAATATTGACATGAACTGAGATCTTTGGGTTATAAACATACATTAAAATTTCATCAATATCGAATAAAAATTGTGACCTCTAGAGTGTCCACACGTTAAAAATGTGATTTTTCGTACACTCAGTGGCCATACTCCGGGAAGTTCCGTTCCGGTACATGCCAATGTCGAAAAGTACAGAGAGCTTTGGGAGATAGATCTATATTTCAAGTTTCGTCAAAATCGGATAAAAATTGTGACCTGTAGACAGACGGACGTCCAGACAGGGGCGACGACAATATATTCTTTTGTCATTATCTATTATAGTGAAAACTGTCAGCTCTTTATCTAAATCTTACACAATATATTTTGAAGTATGCAAATAAAAGTCCAAAATGTGAAGAGGTGGCCTCTTTGGCTTATCTGAATGTTGCAGCTGAAGATATTGATTATTGGGGTTGTATAATACGGTTGGGTTATCCGGTTCGGCGTTTTAAAGAACAATATTGGCGCCAGTCATTATCACATATGTGATAGAACTGGTTAAACACGTTCCAAATATTATTTTATCACAGAGATCGTTGCTACGATAGATGAGTAATCAATGTTTCAACAATAGAAAGTGACGAACGCAAAAGGAAAACACGAGTTATCCCTTTATATAACTGAATGAAGTGACGGGTGATAACAGATACATGGACGAATTTCTGCTAACTAATAATTCATGTGATAATGACTGACACCAATATTGTCCTTTAAGATCCGATAAGCGTGGCTGTTAAATAATGAGAAATTTTGATTTTGCTTCCTGAGGCAAACCCCCGAGGTATAGCGGCACAAGAAAAACAATGCATGAATGAATTGTGTTTAACGTTTATCAAGGGTTCTTTTACGTGCAAGCCAACATGTACATAGGATTGTGTTTTCGTCCCATCCGAACGACTAGATGTTGTTCCTTGCCACATGTTTGTTGGTGGGCTCTGCTAAGTCAGTATTTTTTTTTTAAATTTAAGGTATTTCGCTATTGACTTTACATGTAGGACCGGATTTATAAAAGGGGGGGGGGGGCAATAGAATCCCATGTCAGAACGGTTTCCAAGGTTTCCTTTATAAAAAGAATGTAATAAATATAATATTAGTTTTATTATTAAAAAGAATTAACAAACTCTGATCAGAGATATATTTTGGCAACCCACTCAGATATAAATTACTAAACCACTGAGATATAACCCATTGAGATATATTTTACCAACCAACTGACATATATTTTGTCCCCACCCAAGCATGGAGATGTTGACAACAAAGTAAAGATATCAAGTGTCAGTGGTATGACAACATGTTGAAAACTTAAAGGAGCTAAATCGCTAATATTTGGGACCTTGAAATTGACACAAATGGGTCGCCCTTCATATAATAATGTAATATGAATGTATATAAACTGATTTACATTCAGTCGTTTCCGTTTTTACTATAATTTCAAATCAGTTATGTTCGGCGAAATACGCCAGAAGTCTCAATCGAATGACAATCTCTAGCGTCTAGTTATTCTAGTCTACATAGTATTTATTGTGTATACTCTCCAGATATGAATATATTTATGCAGTCACCGTTTGACATGACTTGTGGAATATTGTCTAGCCTTGTTCGTCGAGTCCCTTGTTAAAAATGGGCCTGAAACGCATTATGGTACACGATTCGTGTACCAATGGTAAAATGTTTATTTTGTCTTAAATATTGGATATCATCTAGCCCATCTTTTCCCGGTAAGATCACAACATCAATGTTGATTTAAATTGACAAATAATTTGTGTTTTCAATGTCGAAGACTTTGGATGATATTGAGTTAGAGGCTTAGCTACTTTAAGTGCGAGGGAGGGGGGCTGAATGGTTAGCACGTGCGCGCGCTGTATCACAAGGCCTGTCATTGAGTCAACTGCCGTGGTTTCGAATCCTCGGTTGTACGTGACAAGGAAAATTTAACGACTGCAAACGCGATTTACTGTTATTCCAGCCCATGCATACAGAAACTTCAAAGTGGTCTAATATAGCCGATGATTAGGTGGCTGGCTCGGATTTTAATTAACCAATCAATCGTTTACAGTCCACGTTTCACCTGGCAAACTTAATTTCTTAATTAATGTATGTACCTTCTTAAAAATAAGTTAATTTTATACTATTAGTACTTATTACACATACGCAGCCCAATCTACTGAAACAACATTCATTTATGAGCAAATATTAACAATAAAGTAAATCAAGCGTTGTTTTTATCAAAATTGATACCGACATTCATAATTACTTCTGTGCAACTCTAATCTGGTTAGTACTTTGACCCGCCTTTATGTGTTAAAGACGTAAATTTAAAATGTCGGAGAAAGCAATCTATTATCACTGCGATTTAAAAAGAGGGGATTTGTACCCATATCAGGTAGGATTTTCTGCTTAATTGTAGTTGGGTGTGGCAGAAATATTATAAAATAACAATAACCAATCGTTGTTTTGATGAAAAATATTGTAAATTTTGCCAACGCAAATCGCATCGGGCTTTGCTACGTGGAACTATATAGGACCATCCAGAGCCTTGTATATAGACTGGGACCATCTCTTATCTTGAAACACGGAGGGTTGAGAGATGGGGTTTGTTATCTATACGGCGAATAAGCCTAGTTACATGTACATGTTTTTAGTATGCTACTTCAAGGTTGTGTATGTCAAAATTTGATTGGTCAATCTCATACAAATTTTGGTGAAAAGCATTCAGCCCAACGAAAATTTTCTGATAAGTTTGAGCCAGGCAAAGAGACCAGAATTAACATTGAAGTCAATTGTGAAATTAATCGTGGTCTGCCTCCTAGATAGTTATTCAGGAGTTATGTCCCTTTCCCTTTGCAAGCATGTGCGCATGAAAGTCCAATTTTATCACAAAAACGGAATAATTGTAAAAACAAAATAACATAATTAGCACCCGGAACATTCATTTAAACGAAATATATTAGTACTAAGGGTGATACCGGGTGAAATATTGCTGACTTTGGATGGATTTTGTGTACTTTTGATTTGTGTCGTCTGTGGAACCGATGGGTAAGTTAAAGTAATGCGCATGTACCCCATCAGTGGAGGCTGAATCAACTTCCGATTCCGAATCAAAGTAACCTGTAACGGTGAAACGAGGGAGATTTGATATGGAAGAAATCGAAGTTTGGTGACAGAAGAAATGATTGAAAGAAGTTTGTATTTTAAAATATTTATTTACTTATTCGAACTGACTCTACTTGTTGTTTTGTGACGATGGGGATTGCAAAATTTCTCATTTAGCTGGCAGACTTTGGACTTACCATACATATGATATATTAATAGCGATGCCAAACGCCGCTAGAGGCGCTGGCTGTCCTATTATTGGTGTGCTAAAAAACGTGACCGAAAAATGTACCGTTTCTACTACGGGGTCTCATGAATATTCAGGAAGTCAAAACGTGGTCACGTGGCACTTTTCCGGAACCTGGTGAGCTGAAGTTAGCGGACTGCCATAGCAGGTAAGATTTTGATCGAATTTTCGCTTATTTTTCTTGTTTTTAATTTTTAAATTTAATAGAAACTTTGAAAAAAAGAGCATTCCGCTCGAGATATCGACATTTTTGGATAGCCTGGTATATATTTTGTATAGTTTGAGCTTTTGTTTTGCCAAAATCCCCCGTAGGAATTGGCAATAAGACGGAAAGTAGTAGCGATGCCAAACGCCGCTAGAGGCGCTGGCTGTCCTATTATTGGTGTGCTAAAAAACGTGACCGAAAAATGTACCATTTCTACTACGGGGTCTCATGAATATTCAGGAAGTCAAAACGTGGTCACGTGGCACTTTTCCGGAACCTGGTGAGCTAGAAGTTAGCGGACTGCCATAGCAGGTAAGATTTTGATCGAATTTTCGCTTATTTTTCTTGTTTTTAATTTTTAAATGTAATAGAAACTTTGAAAAAAAGAGCATTCCGCTCGAGATATCGACATTTTTGGATAGCCTGGTATATATTTTGTATAGTTTGAGCTTTTGTTTTGCCAAAATCCCCCGTAGGAATTGGCAATAAGACTGAAAGTAGAACCGGGGAAGAATCAGGGAAAGACAACTCTTGGTAGGTGCGTGTATGGGATCAGACCACAATGAATGATTTTTTTTTTTTTAACCCAACTTGTGCAAACTTAAGTGTGAACTATTTAGATGTTTTTGCAAATTTAATAACATTACTTGTAAAAAAAAATGGACTTTTGAGAAAAATATATCCCCAAATATTGAAATAAGACTGACTTGGCATAGGCAAAATGAAAATGTGTATCTCATTTATTAGCGATGCCAAACGCCGCTAGAGGCGCTGGCTGTCCTATTATTGGTGTGCTAAAAAACGTGACCGAAAAATGTACCGTTTCTACTACGGGGTCTCATGAATATTCAGGAAGTCACAACGTGGTCACGTGGCACTTTTCCGGAACCTGGTGAGCTGAAGTTAGCGGACTGCCATAGCAGGTAAGATTTTGATCGAATTTTCGCTTATTTTTCTTGTTTTTAATTTTTAAATGTAATAGAAACTTTGAAAAAAAAGAGCATTCCGCTCGAGATATCGACATTTTTGGATAGCCTGGTATATATTTTGTATAGTTTGAGCTTTTGTTTTGCCAAAATCCCCCGTAGGAATTGGCAATAAGACGGAAAGTAGAACCGGGGAAGAATCAGGGAAAGACAACTCTTGGTA